GTTTGCGGCTTCTGATAGTTCAAGTATCCTGTACGAAATTACAATACTACCGGTATAAGGATGCCTCAAATGAGGGGTACCTATCGAACAGGGGTCCTGCTGTTTGTCTTTTTTCTTTTGGTGCCCTTAGATGGTGGAAAACAAACTAGAGAGAGAGGGAGAGCGAGGGAGAGGGCGAGACTGAGAGGGCGAGACTGAGAGGGCGAGACTGAGAGGGCGAGACTGAGAGGGCGAGACTGGGCGAGAGGGAGAGAGGGAGAGGGAGAACGAGACCGAGACCGTGAGGGTGACCGTGAGGATGAGCGTGAGCGGGAGCGTGAGCGGGAGGGAGCGGGAGGCAAAGGGGAAAGGAGGAGAAGAGGAAGAGGAAGAGGAAGAGGAAGAGGAAGAGGAAGAGGAAGAGGAAGAGGAAGAGGGGACGGCAGAGGGAGAGGATGGGGATGAAACGAGGGAGATAGTGAGGGGAAGGAGAGGAAGAGGAAGAGGAGAGGAAGAGAAGAGCAAGGAGGGAGCAATTTAAGAGCAAGAAGAAAGCAGGAAGAGATTGCGCTCAGAGGGTGGGGAGAGGTTGGTGTAATAGATTCTGAGGGGCAATAGAAGGGTCAAGCAGAGAAAAAGGCGAGTTGGTTCGAAATAGATGGATTGACGAAAAGAGCGTAAGTAAGAGGAAAGAAGCATGGAAAGAAGGGAAGGAAATGATTGGAGGGGTTTATGAAAGTGTGATGAAGTCTCCACAATGCTACCTTTAGTGTATGAGGATGCGATAATCGAAATACGCCAAGGAATGAATGAGAGGCAGAGGCAGTATTGCTTTTGTGTAAGAAATCCAGGAAAGCAGTTTATGGAGAACCGGTGGGCAGCATGGAATAGTTAAGCATTGAGGTAGGTTTGATCGATTGAACCGACAAAACGTATTACTCTTTCCCTTGCCCTTGTAGGCAGAACACTCATCAAGCTGGCAGGCAAAGAAGTCTACTTCAAGGAATCACAACCTGAAAGTCTATTATTCAAGAGTCAAGGTTCTATCGATGTGAAATTGCGAGTCATATTTCAACGGGTGGACTGATCTGCACGGGCAAAATTCCAAGTTGGTACTGCCAACGTTGTCATAGATGTGCGTGCTGAACTGAACAACAAAAAATCGAGTCCTGAGAATTCAGAGACCTGAGCATCTTTCATTTCTCACGCGTTCCAACAGACAGTGCGAACTGGATATTTGAGCAATGATATCATACGAACTCGAGGTTTTTCGTGTTTCGGTGGGTTTATTTCACATGTTTTCACTAATCAAACACAGAAGGTTTACTTGCCCTGGGCCTGGCGGCGCTTGAGGTACTCCTCGAAGCTCTCAGCAGGGCTGCAACAAGCTGTCAGCTCCTCCTCTCTCCTCTCTCAGTCACTCACGGGATGTAGGTCTGCTTGGACTTGGGGTCGTTGGGGTCGAGCTGGGTGGACTTGGGGTCACGGGTGTGAGCCTTCTTCTCGCCTCCCCATCCAGCGTCGGGGAGATCACCAGCGTCCTGAGCAGGCTTGCACATGCGGAGGGCAGTGCCAGCGCGCTGTATCAAAGCGTCAATGTCTCTTCAAGATCCCCCGAGCTCTGGAAGGGGTTGAGAGACAAGACAAGTAGAACCCCAACAGCGACGAACAACTCAAGAGGAGGGTAATCCGACATCCCGGATACAAGTACCCTCTATCATCGACAAACAAGCAGTGGAAAGGAAGGTGGAGGATCCAGGAGGAGGAGGAGGAGGAGAAGGAGGATAGCGCATTCACGAGCTACTCACAGCGGCGAAGAGGCCGGAGAGCGCGGGGGTGGCAGAGCTGATGGGAGCGAGCATGGCAGCGATTCAGCGGCCGATGCTTCCTCCCTGCTTATATCCCCTGCAGACTACCCCACCCTCCTTCTTATGTGCTTCGACTAATTCTTGAGGGTAGGGTATACTACCCCACCTATCTTACCAAGCCTTGCAAGAATGGATCAGAGGGGTGCTTCTTCCTCTTGACAGCGATAGTTGAGCGAGTAGAGGGGGTGAATAACGAGGAGAATCAGGGGGTACTTGTAGAAGGGGGTGGGTCACGATCATATTGAGAGGTTCATGACCCCACCCTCTTCAGCCCTGTGGACCACCCCCATTCTTAGTGCAGATAGTGGGATGGGTCCCCATGGGAAATGAGTGGGTCCAGCAAGGAGTCGAGGGGGGTGGGACAGAGATCCGAGGGTTCATTCAAATAAGGGGTAGTTTTGCTATTGAAGGATGGGTAGGGGTGGGTGCAGGAAATTTCCTCTGGGACTTTTAAGAGAAAACAGGTCAGAAAAGAGAGGCCGGATGAGGAGGGGGTACTGGGAAACCTAGGGGTACGGATAGGTCAATTAGTGGGTAGGGGTCAACATGCACCTCCTATTAGACATTTTTGAAATATTTCGATGTAAATTGAAAAACGACAAAACAATTTGGGACAATTGTTGAAGAGGGATCGCCGGGGGTCAGAAAGTTGAAATCGCTTCCTTTTGACATTTGGTAGAATAGAGAATGTTTACTCAAATAGTCTATATAATTAGTTGTTTTCTTGCTTGTATCTCCCTTGTGATCCGAGTCTTCTGGAATATCGAAAACAAGTCTTTTAGAGATTTCGGATTTCTCTTTACAGCACTACCCCACCTATACACTTGAAAATGATGCTGATAAAGAACTTTAGGGTTTGATAAGAGAGGACCCCTTTTTTTAGATGAGAATTCGGAGGAAAGGTACATAGGGGTACCTACCCCCACCCTGTTTTTCGGAACGCTACCCTTGGGCTGGGGGACATTTGGCCTATGGGCCGCATTTTTCCCTGGCTACCACCCCACCCTTGAAATGCCGGGGGCTATAAGAGGATCGGGGCCGCTATGAAGAGTGGGGTGGTGTGGTGGGGGTAGGAGTAAAACTGTGAGATATAGGGGGGTGATACTTGGGAAATTTGGGGGTATAGCCATAGGGGGTGGGGGACCGTGTGCTGGTGGTAAGATTATTATGGAAGGGGTGGGGGTGGTTTCCTTCAGGAATATAAAGAAGGAGCACAGCTACCGTTCCGCATCGCAATGCTCGCTCCCATCAGCTCCGCCACCCCCGCGCTCTCAGGCCTCTTCGCCGCTGTGAGTAGCTCATACCTGCCCCTTCCTCTCTTCCTCTGTTGAATGTTCTTTCTCATGTTCTAGAATGGCGGGTATTCCGCTCCCATCTCGCTCTTGCAATACCCAGTTTATGTACTTTCTTTCCCGAATCCTGCCTATCCTCTCCCATCCTGTCAGCAAGTCGATTACGGTTCTGACGCTTTGATACAGCGCGCTGGCACTGCCCTCCGCATGTGCAAGCCTGCTCAGGACGCTGGTGATCTCCCCGACGCTGGATGGGGAGGCGAGAAGAAGGCTCACACCCGTGACCCCAAGTCCACCCAGCTCGACCCCAACGACCCCAAGTCCAAGCAGACCTACATCCCGTGAGTGACTGAGAGAGGAGAGAGGAGGAGCTGACAGCTTGTTGCAGCCCTGCTGAGAGCTTCGAGGAGTACCTCAAGCGCCGCCAGGCCCAGGGCAAGTAAACGATCTGATGTCGCGATTATTCTTTTAGCAGTGAATAAACCAATGTGAAACTGGAATCATGTGGTAACAGCTGAGTTGAGTGTACTCGACTGATGTTGAGCTACAAGTTAACATGTGTTGTGCTCCTTCACTTCGACTCAGCTACGACCCTCCTGTAGTGCCTGTACGCTTTCTTCGCTGTGAGAAGAATCTCACTGCATCGAAATGTTAGCATGGTTCGTCCTGCCCTCATCCCCTCGTGCTCTCCTCCCAGCCTCCACCTCATCGCTACAGCCCATCCTAGCTCTACCATAGCAGACCTCACCTGCTGCAGCCTTCGCCCTCCTCCTGCATCTTCTGCTCATGGACGAGGAAATCTCTCAGGGTGCTGAGTTGCGTCAGCAGAGGAGGGAGCAAGTGAGGGCTGACCGTAGGATCTGATGCTCTTGCTTGCTCGAAGTCTTGAGGAGGAAGACAGAAAAGTAGTGGACCTGACACCAAATGATCCCCACCATCACCATCCCCTTCCTCTCCTCCTCCTTACTCCCTGTTCCTCCTGTTCCACCTTCCCTCCCCTCCCCCGTCCCCCTCCCTCCCTCCTCCCTGCTCTTTCTCCCCATCCCTCGTCTCTCCTTCAACGTACCATCTTACACGGACTGTCGCGGTTTCGAAATTTGCCGAAGGCGATAGCAGCATTCTGAGAGTTTATGAGAGGAAACATCGGAGAGGAGGTGGAAGAGGAAGACGAAGACGACGAGGACGAGGACGCTCTCACCTTATAATTGACATCAGGAAATTCTTCGCTCCTCTGCAGCGCTTCGTCGTAGAGCTCTGCGGCTACACGATATGCTTCCTGCTGCTGACATCAGGACAGACATCCAGCTCTCCTCCCATTTCTTCCTCTCCTGAATCTACTCCTCTTTCCCTCCTCTCCTCTCCTCCCCTCCCCTCCCCTCTCCTCTCCCTTCCTCTCCCTTCCTCTCCCTCCTCGCTCGCTCCCACACTCTCCTCTGCCTCCTCGACTTCACCTGGCTCCCAAGCTCGTCCGCGTACGTCATCACCGCCAACGCTGGCTTCGTGAGAGCTGCTGGAGGTCAACCACCAGCTGGGCTAGAGCTGACCGGTCAGGTAACCTGCCACGTAGTCCCCGTAGGCGACATGCTCCCACGTTCCCTCCCCCGACTCGCTCCTCCTCGTCATCCTCCCTGGCCGCAACCTTCTGACTTCCTCTACCCACCTGACCCTCCGTCAGACACGAGCCAGCAAGCGAGTCAAAAGCAGCGGAAGTGCCGAGGGGGAACCTGGAGGACGGAAAGAGGGGACAAAGCCAGAGGAGGTGCAAGGCTGAAGTTGTGTACGTTGTTGTTGTTGTTGTTGATGATGATGATGATGATGATGATGATGACGATGACGATGATGATGATGATGATGATGATGATGATGATGATGATGATGATGATGATGATGATGATGATGATGATGATGATGATGATGATGATGATGATGATGATG